TAATGACAGCTTAAGAACATGAGGTTTACAATTATTGAAACAGGGAGCATAACGGTGTATTTTCTATTATACAATACTAAACAAACATTACCGTGTCTTCACATGCATTTCTATCCGAAATTAAAAGCGAGGGTTCGGAGACTTACCTCAAAAGTGTATAAAGTTTGAAATCGAGAGAATTTTCATTGAGCAACGCAAAGACCGATGCCTCTCTTAACTATCCAACAAAGGGATAATGACACAAACAATCTCTGAATTTTAGCCCAATGTGCAATTTGGTCCCTGAACTTTTAATTGTTTAATGTAGTCTTTAAACTTTAGCCTAATATTCACTGTGGTACCTGAACATTTAATTTGTTCAATGTGGTCCTTGGACTTTTGGTACATGTTCAATTTAGTCCCAAAACTATATAAAAATAAGTTCAGGGACTACTTTGAACATTTTCATATAGTTCAGGGACTAAATTGAACAAGTATCAAAAGTTCAGGAATGACATTGAACAAATTAAAAGTTCAGGGACCACATTGAACATTGGAATAAAGTTCATGAACTATATTGAACAAATTAAAAGTTCAGAGACCAAATTGCACATTGGGCTAACGTTCAGGGACTGTTTGTGTCTTTTTCCCTCCAACAAATTCATAATTTTGTTTGTTTTATTTTCTATTTATCTTTCTTATCAGTCCATGCATGTGCTTTTCTATGTGAGTTCATAGATGTATTTTTACTTTAATTTATTTTATTCTTCTATCTCTGATTGCAAGCAAGTCTAACTATGAGTGAATTTTTATGTTTTGTTATCACATCTAAACATGACATGAAAATTAAACAACGCTTCAATATTGAGAGCAATTTGATGCTATTATCAACTGTGACGACAATATTTTTCCTGAAAAATAGACAAAAGTAGAATTTTAATGCGAGTTATTGGTCTAGAGTGTAAATAGACAAAAGTAGAATTTTAATACGAGTTATTGATCTAGAGTCTAACAAGAACATATGGTATAAAAAGATTTATTACACTTTTTTAACAATAACATATGGTATAGAGTCTAACAATACTTCTAGTGTCTACACAAATTTCTACAGAGGCATTCTTTAGTCAAGGAAAACTGATTTTATTTTTGGTTGAAATAAAAAAGTTAATTTACTAAAAAGACATAAAATTTCACTTTCAAACAAATTTAAAAGAGAATAGTTTCTTCTTTGCAGTTAACTAGGGTAATTGATTTACTATTGATTAGGGTGTATAATTATACTTTGAAATAGTTGTATCTCTTTGAAACCTTCGTTAAATAGACAAGTGTATAGTGTAATATGTTGCACCATCATAATCCAACATATCAAATACTAAAATGAGTGTTTACAAAAATTCTCAAATAAAGCTAATTAGGACAACAATAATAAGGCTACTTTTTTCATAATAATCTTTTAATGGTTTAAAATCGTACTAGAAAGTTGTCCTTTCCCCGTGGCAACGCGCGGGCTCGTCCTAATCTACTATGTTTTGCAATATCTAGGGAATCAGCCTTACTTAAAATACCTAGGTTGAAGCATTTGCATCTTCTATTATTAAACTTTCTCCACGTCAATCAAAATTCAACTTGAAACAGTTCATGAAAATTTATAAAAGTTTTTTAATCAACCTATTCATCGTCCTTCAGGTTACATTGTTAACTTCAACAATTGTCACATCATAATTCGAGTACTTGGTTCTCCATCTCCAAAATGAGATATTGTCATTGATTGGGATCTCCTAACAAGATTGCCAAGACTTTTGCCTCAAGGAATTTGATTCAAAAGCCAATTCAGACCTTTTATTGACTTCCAACCAAGGACACCTTGCTCTAAAGTCTCTCAAAAGCCAGAATATTTTCTATATTCAATCTCAAAACATCATTTTGGCAATTGAGCATTCACCCTGAAGAAAGATCTAAAACAGGGATTTATATCCCAAACCAACATTTCTAGTGGATGGGTATGTTGTTTAGATTTATAACGACGCCTTCATTGTTTCGGAAGGTTATGTGCAAGATCTTCTAGCCCATTGTACATGTGCTCTCACCTACATAGATGACATTCTCCTATTCAGCCCCGATGAGGAAGCTCAATATAGTTTGTTGATATTGTAATTCAATATGGCATTATGCTTTCATAGAAAAAGATGCTCATAGCGCAAACTAATGTTGATTTCTGGTGGGGCATGTATGTCAAAGATAAGATTATGTCAGGAGAATACCTGAACACCTTGCCTTGGTACTTCCTGATGAAAGTTTTTCTCAAAAGCAAATCCAGTAATTCCATAGTATTATCAATTATCTTTAGAGATTTTGTTCTCATGGTCTCCAGATATATTAAAAAAAAAAAAAAAAAGATCCGCCACCATGGAGACAAACTCATGCCAAAGCCATCCGGGTTTTCGAAGAAAACTGCAGCACCTTCCTCCTCCATGAATCTTCTCACGGAAAGAAGATTCTTCTTACAGATGCTAGTAATAAGTATTGAGCAGCAACACTTTTTGGAGATATTGATGGGAAGAGGTTCAATTGTGGTTACAAAAGTGGACATTTCTCACTAGTAGAACTCCATTATCATTCCACCTTCAAAGAATTCCTAGCCGTCGAATATGAACTTAAGAAATTCGAGTTACATCTATTTGGCTGTCATTTCTTTGTAGAAATGGATATGTCCTCTGTTCCACAGATCCTACAATTCAAAGTTTCCACACTCTCAACTTCTTAGAGGGGTTGAATGATTTTTGAAATATTGCTTTGAAATTAAACACATCAAAGGCAAGAAAAATAGTTTTGCAGACTTGCTCTCGTGATTATAGGAAATTTCGCCCATCTCGTGAATGAAGTTCTTGAATTGGTCCTATCTGGACAATTCTTCGGAGATAGTAAACCCTCTCACTTGGGAATATCAGCTTAAATTTTGCCGACAGTATGGAGGTTTAAATCTCATACCCTTTGGCATGCATCCAGCTTATTCCTTTATACACATAATCACATTCAATTTTGGAATCAATGGAGTTTTCTCAAGACCCTTGGAATTTTTAACAGGCATATTAAGAATCTTGTCCATAAAAATAATTACCAAAAAAGTCGTAAATCTGTTGTATGCATGCCAATTCGATTTTAAACATCTTAATTTTGCAAATTGAGTCCCAAACCTTTTGACAATCTATTGTTGTAGTCCTTCCAGCGAATTTTGGCCCAAAATTATTTACGTGACAATTTTCACAATTTTTTAAAAATTTTACGAATTTCTTTAAATATTTTTTTACTTTTTGTCTTATTGTTTCTTTTTCTTTCGTTTTTTTTCCATGTTTTTTTTTCCTACTAAGTTCGGAGAGGTTGGTGGCCCTTGTCTAGTGGCTGTATGGGCGAGGGCCATGACCCTCGCCAGTCTTAAAAGAAAAAGGAGAAAAATAAAGAAAGAAAAAGAAAAAAAGTTTTAAACAAATTAGAAAAATGTTTAACCAATACAAAAATTGTTCATGTTAATGCCGCTGGCTATGTCATGTGCGACGACTGACGTTCACATCAGCGATTGCCTACCAAAATTGATCAGAAGAATTATATTAGCAAAACGTCAAAATGTTTTTGACTAAACGAGTCAAATTGAAAGGTTTATAATTGAATCGGAATTCATACAATATATTTAAAATCTTTTCGGTAAATTTTTCCTCCTTCGTATGACACATGTCGAGGCCAGAGACTTTGAATGTGACTCCAATCAAGACAAACATCATGAGCCCGTCAAGAATCTCGGCCTGTATTGTACTATTAAAGTGTCGTGAGGTCTGGAAGCTTTCTCAGGGAATCTCTTTCCCATGTTGTACCATTAAAGTTGTCATGAAATCACTTTCCCATGTTGTATTATTTAGTGTTTGCCAAGCTAATTGGCATTAAAAGGCGATGAGTAATGACTGTGATGCCATTATCCTCGGTTATAAAAGGCAAGGAGGATCGTGAATCAAATCAGCGTGAACTTTACCAAAAAAATCTTACATTCTTTCTCTACCCATGTTCAGCTAAAACCCCTTCTTTTTATAGGCACAATGTAATAAGAAGGATACAAATAAATCGTGAAATAAGATAGTACCAATCAGTATCTAGCAATTTGTTTATACCCTCCACTTGCCATTTTGAGTGGATCAAAAGTCAATATGCTACCACTTAGTCTTAAAGATGTTCATTTTAGTAAGAATTATAGGTTCAAAGGCAATCCTGAAAGGTAGAAAGATTTACTTAGCTTTTTCAACCCGGATAAAGTAAATTTCTACAACGACATACCTTGGCTAGAGAAAACTGATTCTATTTTTGGTAGAAAGAAAGAGTTAATTTACTAAAAATACACATAAAAGTTCACTTTCAATCAAATTCTATGACATAATATTTTCTTTTTTACAGTTAGCTTGCGTAATTATTTTTCTATTGATCAGAATATATTACCATACTTTGAAATATTTGTATCGCTTCGAAACCTTCGCAAAATAGATAAGTGCACCATCAATAATAAAGATGAGTTTTTACAAAAATTCTCCGATAAAGCTAATTAAAATAACAATAACAAGGCTACCTTTTTTTGTATATATAATCAGTCATAATATCTTTTAATGGGTCAAAATCGCATTAGAAAGTCGGTCTTTCCATGGCGACGCGCGGGCTCATCCTAGTTTATTATATTTTGAATTATCTAGGCAAATAACGTTACTTCAAATGAATCAAATCCCAGCAGTATAGTGCTAATTTGAGAATTTCAACAGTCCACCACCAAAGCTATAAGATATAGTGCCATCATTCAGTGTTGGGAAAAGCAAAGGAAACATTAAAAGTGCCGCTAGGAAATCGATTCCTAACTTGTTAAGTCCCTAAATTCGCTCCCTTACGTTCACTATACTTGCCTATTTGGCTCTCCTCTTAGTCACACTTTATCCCTAATTCGTCATCTTCCAATTACTCTCCCACCATTATCTACCAATTGGTAATTAGTCATGCCTCCTCCTCCTTCTCCTTATTCGCAAACTCTCAAGAATGGAATCAAGAACGACCGCCCCGTGCCGGCAGCAGAGGCGGTGTCCTCGTCGAAAACCCGCCAAGAGACGAGAAGGGTCAAGGCGAAACGCGCCCTAACGGCCCTCGTCGTCGGCGTTGGGGCGAATCTCTCCCTGACCATGGTGATAATCCTCCTGTTCGGGTCGGGCAAGAGGTACGACGCGCGGCCCAAGCCACTGTGGCTCCCCCCGCTCTGGCTCGTGCACGCGGCCTCGCTCGGCTCGTCCTTCTTCATGGGCCTTGCGGGCTGGCTTGTGTGGGCCGAGGGCGGGTTCCGCGCCCAGTCCGGCGCGGCGTTGCCCCTCTACGTCGACGCAACGTCGCTCGGCGTGGTGTGGAACCCACTGGTCCTTGTGATGGGCGCGGATTGGGTCGGGCTGGCCTTCTGCCTCGTGCATTGGGGGACTCTCGCGGCGTGCAAGCGCGAGTTCGGGAAGGTTAACCATCTCGCCGGAGAAATCGTGAGGCCTTGCGTGGTGTGGGTGGGATTTCTTGCCATTTTGACCTTTGGTCTTGCAATTTCTTAAATTAAGTTGCATTTTGTTTTAATTAGAGATTTTCATGTGATAGAATTTAGGTTACCTTTCTCTAGGTCTTCCTAGGGGTGATCGTTCCGATCCGGTCCGGGTTTACTTGATGCCATCTTTTCGTGTTGAATTAAGTGATATGTTTGCAATGATCCTCAAATTGAAAAGACTAATCAAAAAGCGTGCTTCACTTAGAGTTTAGTTCACATTTTACTACTTTTTTGAAGAAATAAAAAATTTAAAAAAAGTATATGTAATTGATTCGGTCCTGTCCGGTTTCCTTTGGAATCGGAAATCGGATCGTCCGGACACCGGTTACACTTTTATGAACCGGGAACCGGACGATTTTATGAACCGGGAACCGGACGATACTCCCGGGTACCGGACCAAACCGACCGGTCCGGTCCGGTCCAGGTGGTTTCCTATTTAGGCGGTCCGTTTTGCACACCCCTAGGTCTTCCCTCATTTATTCTTTTTTGTTTTTATTTGGTCAATTACATGGTACCTTAGGCGACACAAGAAAAGAGTTGGAGTTTTAAAGTTCTACCATTGGGTGTATATTGCAATCATAGGATTGAAACAATGGAAACCACAAGATTTTTCTTTTCATGCACAGCATCTAGTGTGGATTACCGTGCGTCCGATAGGAGAATTAGAAAGCTGAATAAGGCGGCGAAATTTTCGACGCTAGTTAGCAATGAAGTTTGATTCTTATCAATGGCGACGATGGTTGTATCGTGATACAAAATCATCGAACTTAGAATCTTAATCGAACTGTAAATTGAGAACTTTCTCTTGAGATGGTTCAACTTTTTTTTATATGCTTTGACCTAAAATCACATGGGTAGGTCCAATGAGGCTGAGGTTGACATGTCTAGACAGTAGACATGACGCAGGAAGGACATGCTATTATCAACTTTTAGCGTGAGTTCCTTTGGTGCTTCGGCGGCGGAATTTCGTGGAGCGCACCAAATTCATTCGCGTTCAAATTTAGTTGCCATAGTCCTAGTTGATGAAATTAAATCTCTCTTATGATGCCCGTGAACTACGGAATTTACTTATAATTGCCATAGTCCTAGTTGATGAATTTACTTATAATTGTCTTCATTTAGATGAAATTAAATCTCTCTTATGAAATTAAATTTCGGCATTATTTCAATCCCATGGCTTCATCATCTACATGAACGAAAGGTTTTGATTAATAGACATTATATGCGGGGTCTCACCTGGGACAATAAGGTACTAATTAAAGACGTGAGCCCATTCAGGTCACCAGGTGCATGAATAGCACTCTCTCTATTATAAACGTGCACGGAGTGACCAGATTCATCAATGTAATAGTGGCACCCCTACAACTTCATGTGCTTTTGCTCAGGCTATGTAGTCCAAGAAATCAATTATTGAACCGAAGCATCACTAATTCCTGTGCTGCCCAATTTCTATCGAGTCCGATTGTTTCTTGAAAATGAACGATTTGATAAAAAAAAAATTTCGAGAAATGATTGGTTTCGTTTGAAATAATTAGCCAACTAAAGATATTTTCATTGCCGACAACAGCTAATGTCTAAATATTTTCGTGGACGATGAAAATATTTTTTATTCATTCATTTTTGTAAGCAATATAAGCAGTTGTTTTTAAGAAAATATTTTCCAAAATGTGAGTTTGTTAGAATATCAAATCCAAAACCTTAAAACTATAGATAGAAAGAGACCATGCGTATATGAAGAGCATATAAACCCTAAGGACAAATAATGCGTGATACTTTGACACCCACTCCCACTTGCAAGCCGGACTAAGAATATCTAATCGAACTCTTAATTGAAATTTTTCTCTTAAGATGGTTTGACTGTTTCATATGCTGTGACCCTTTTATTAGAGATAAAATGAGTTCTGAGGAGGGAAAAAAAAAGAAAAAAGAAAATTAGGGGGCACATTTGTCCGGCTCATGTATTTTGGGGACCCATTAACGTCACATGAGTAGGTCCTATATAATTATCATGCTCCCTCTCCGTGGCTGAGGTTGACAATAGGGGTGAGCATAAGTCCCGATCTCACTCGGGAATCGGACCGGACCGGCCGATTATGAATGGTGAATCAGGAATCGGACCGGACCGATGAACCAGTCAAGATTTCTTAATTTTTTTTTATTATGAAACAAACCTAATTAGTAAATTATTTCTTCTTTTAATATTGGGAAACTCCTACTTGTAAGGAACTAGAAAAAAACACACAAAAAAAAAAAAAAGAAATCACTAGTTCGGAATCGACTCTGGAACCGGACTGATCAGTTTGGTCTGGTCTTATTTGAGGACCGAGTGGGCTGATCACCGATTTCACAAATTAGGAATCGACTTTGCTCGGTCCAATTCGAGGTTTGAGTGTAGGAACCGACTCTCCCATCTTGGAACCGATCACTCTTGATTGACATGTCTAGAATATAGACATGACACGGGGAGTACATGTCGCATGTCACGCTTGTATGTTGCAGCCAGGAAAAGTAAAATATGAATAGCTTTTCTACACCATAATGTCAAATCTGTAATTTAGGGTCGGGTTGTGCTGAGATGAGTCGGGCCTGACTCGACCCGGTTCTTGTATTCCTTTCAACCATTTGGAGTCTCTACCCAACACAATTAGCATGAAATCCCTGAGTGCTTCAAAGTTCTTGTTCTACGTGACTTGGACGAACGAGCTCGTTCACTTTTGAATTTAGTGTTCCATAGTGCTAGTTAATCAGATTAAATCTCTCCTATGATGCCCATGAGTCTCTAGACCCGACACATTGAGGTACACTTATTGGGTTGATCGATCCTAAGTTAAATCTACCAAGAGCAGAAATTAAATCTGGAAAAGTCTTGGAGTTCACCATCTAAAATATGAGCTTAATTTTGTTTATTTCTTTTCTCCAAAAAATAGAGGTGAGCATCGGCCCGGTTCAACTTAGTAACCGAACGAGCCCTAGACCAATTTTGTCGACCAGCTCAATTGGCTGGCTTGCCTCATGGATGGTGCTCTCTCTTTTGATCGGTTAATTTCTCGGATCCCTTTCTATATGTATTTTGTGATTCTATGACTACTTGTCGTGATTGTACAAAATGAAAAAAAAAAAATGAAGGAAAAACTGAATATACCAAATTGAAGGAAGAAAGAATAGACCTGATTTTGGGGCAAAGGTGAACGGTTCGATTCCATGCATCTTCCAAGGTGGATCGATCTGATTCTCAATTCCACAAAATTTGGAACCGGTTTTTCAATTGGGTAATTCCACGTTTTAGGTCACGATTGTATCCACCTTCAGATTGATGATCCCTATCAAAAACTCGCGCGAACGATTCCATCGTGTCATAAATAATTTTTTGTTCTTGTTTTTCATGGCCAAAGCACCCCAAACCAGAACATAAATTTTCCAACCTCAAAAGTCAATTAGGAACATATAATAGAGTACCAGATTGCAACCCTAGAAGCAAATTAATTAGATTTGTTTTTCCAACCTCAAACTTTGAAGGCCTTTTCTTCCATCAATTTCTGTAGCATCAAGTACTCATTTTCTTCCTCCCTTTTCTTCTCTTTTTTTCTGGTTTTGTTTTTTTTTTTTTTGGAAAATGACACAAACAGTTCATAAATTTTGGCCCAATGTGCAATTTTATCTATGAATTTTTAATTTGTTCAATATGGTCCTTGAACTTTAGCATAATAGTCAATGTGATCCCTGAACTTTTGATTTATTCAATGTGGTTCCTGAACTTTTGGTATATATTCAATTTAGTCTCCGAATTATATGAAAATGTCAAACGGACTATTTGTGTCATTTTCCTTTTTTTTTTTTGGCTCTCTGATACTGAAACTGAAGAAGACGCAGAAATTGGTGGACAACAGCATTTCCAACCTGGCACGTTACCCAATGAATGTTCGTGCAACTATTGTTTTTGGGAATAAAACGCCATGTGATTTTTCCTCTATACTAGTCCAATTGCAACAATTTCTCCTATTTTGGGCATTAGTACAACAATTGGTGTACGTTACTTTGAAAGAATTTAGATCAATTTCCTATAATAACTCAAAATCTTACTTTTTCTTCCTTTGCTAAATTCCTTTTCATCATTTCGCTAGTGTATACAATATGTTATTACGACAAAACCCATCTTACATAAGTAAAATTCGAACTTGTGGAATACCCCCACTAACATTATAAATCACGTTAGACCCCACTTAAAGCTCATAAAGATTACCCAAACATGAGATTAGTCATACTCTGCGTGAAGAATGAAACATATTTGGGTGTCATTTTTTTTTTGGCACATGTACATTTCTGGAGGCTCCGTTATTCTAGCGGAAAATGAATTATTTGGAAAATATTTTCCTAAAAATAACTGCTTATATCGCTTGAAATAATTAAACAATGAAAAATATTTTCAATATCGGCAATAATTTATGATTAAACATTTTCGTGGACGATGACAATATTCTTTGTTTATTTATTTTTGTAAGTAATATAATGAATTGTTTTTACAAAATTATTTTTCAAATCATTCATTTTTCGAGAGACAAACGCACCCTAGACATTAATTCGATGTCCCGACAACAATATCATCGACATGAATAAAGAATTCTCACTAGTACAAGCTTTTGCCTACTAATGAAAAAAGTTATGATTTGCAAACATTATACGTGGGGTCTTACCTAGGACAATGAGGTACTAAAACGTGAGCTCATTCATTTTGCCAGGTGCATTATTAGCCCTTTATTTATTAGAGACGTGCTTGGACTGACCAGATTCATCAATCCTACTAGTAATAATGGCACGCCAGCCCCGTCGTGTGACTTTTGCTCGCGCTATGTCGTACTAGAAATTAATCTATTGAACCGAAGCATCACTAAATCGTTTCGTTGCCCAAATTTCGATACGAGAAGGTCCAACTTAAAAGTTTAGGAATATATAGGTTTTAAAAGAGGCCACAAGAGGATAAGTGATGTGAATTACATTCGTACCCGCTCTCACGTGCAAGCCGGATGAGAAACGGCACGTGGGATTTGACAAACGGATGGTCGCAAGTGGGAAATAAAGTGGCTAGAAGTGGCCATGTTATCTTGTCAGAATGTCCCATCCAAAAGCTCATTGCTATAGTCCTTATAATTTTGCTATCCAATTTTGATATGAGAAGATCCAACCTAAACGTTTAAGACTATAGATTTTGAAAGAGGCCACATGTGGACAAGCAATGTGAAGTACATTAGCATCCGCTCTCACGTGCATGCCGGATGAAGAATGACATGTGAAATTTAACAAACGGGAGGGCCACATGTGTGAAATAAACTTGGCAGAATTGGGCATGGTATCATGTCAGAATGTCTAACCTGAAAGCTCAAGCTTATAGGTTAAGGGAGACTGTATGCATATCAAGAACATATAGTCTCCACTGGTAAGCGATGCGGACTATTTTAACACTAATTATTACGGTTAATATTCTAATTATCAAATCCATATGCATCTAGCCTCATCTATTATTGAAATTTAGGGTATTGGTATTGCATATCCAATACCATGTGCGCGGATGAGCATGTGCATATTACGTCCTATAATGGTATGAATGCTTTAGTTCAAATTAAATATAATCAATTGCCTTAAATTCACAAGCAAATAATCATGCGAATATTTTTAACTGGTCCGGCAGACGAGATACGACGGGCTATACACATATAAAATGTACATCTTATTATGCTCGTGGTAAAAGTTTTGATTTCGATAAACTTATATGTCGATTATTCATATACATACGAGAATATCGCTTCATATTCACGCAAGTAAATATACTATTTTTTCTGATTTATCATTAGATAACACGATATACTAACGAATATCAATTATTAAATACGATATCTTTTACAGAATATATTCCTTAAATAATTATATTTTGTTATGGAAGCTTCTATTGTTTGTGGTATGGGAGTGTGTGGGCAAGCCCCCACCGTCTTTTCTAAATGATACTCTACTTGCTTCAATTTTTCCAAATTTTTTTCATATTGCCCCTGCAACATATCTATTTTGTTCAGAGTTTTTTTTTCATACCACGTGAATAACTTGTGGATTGACACGTTAGCAATTTCCGGTGGCAAAAAATTACATTGAAATTTCATGCAAATGTTTGTTATTGTATTGATAAAATTGAAAATTTAGGACTAAATTGACATATTTTTATTATCCAAATGAGTGAACCGTAATGTTTATGATGATTGAATTTGCCTCACCGAAAATGTTTCATTAATTTGTCTTTGACAACCGATGGAAATTCATGACAACTTTATTTTAAGATTTTGTCATAACAATGTCGAATTTTTTCACGTACTTTTAAATGAAATAATCATAATGCACTTCATCCATCTTATCTATCGTGTAATTTTCTTAGCGAAAGTGTAACCACATATATCGTATGTGCCATTTAGCCTTTGTTTGTTTCGCAAAAATGAATTATTTGAAAAATATTTTTCTAAGAATGATCATTTATATCGTTTAAAAAAATTAATCAAGGAAAAATATTTACAATTTATATATAGACATTTTCATGGACGATAAGAATGGTTTTCATTCATTCATTTTTGTAATCGATATGAGCAATCATTTTTAGGGAAATAATTTTCGTATTAATCATTTTCCGCAAAATAAACGAAGGCTAAATCATATTTGTGTACAATTTTACGGCTTTTTTTATTTGCTATTCTTTTAATTTAATAAGAGTGTTTTCTTGTATAGATAATAAAATTGAAACCAAAGACACTTTGGGGCTGTTTGGTAATCGGCCAAAGAGTACTCGATTCTATTCTTTTATTCTTCGGAACAAAAAAAGAACAGCAATTTGTTCGGTAATTCTTTTGTTCTCGAGCACAAATTTGTTCCCAGAATCAGTTTTGGAATAGAATCAAGAATAAAAAAAAAAGTTGATTCTTGATTCTGGGAACAAGAATCATAAATGGAAAAGAAATTCTTTTTCTTCTTCTTCTTTGGAACATAATCAAGAATAAAAAAAAGTTGATTCTTGATTTTGGGAACAAGAATCAGAAATGGTCTTCTTCTTTCTTTCTTTCTTGGCCTATGGCCAGCGAAGGCGTCGCGATCCTCGCCGGATCCTCGTGGCCTAGGCGAGGGCCGCCTTCGCCGGATCCGGCGAGGGCAGACAGTCGCCGGCATGGCCAAGAAGGAGAAGAGAAGAAAAAAAGAAAATAAAAAAAGAAACAAATAGAAAGAAATATTAAAAAATTTAAAATATTATTAATAAAAAGAAATTTTGTACAGTTACCAAACGTATTTATGTTCTTTTTCTATTCTAGGAATGGAAATTTTGGGCCGTTAGCAAACGCCTTCAAATGCTTTGAAATTATTTCCGGGAACAGAATAAAAAAAATCATTTTTGAGCAGAAATTGTTTCTGGAAACAGAATGGTTACCAAACACACCCTTCCCGTGAAGTCTCTTATTATAATGTTAGATATATGATCGTGGTCCGGACCTCTGACGTGAGTGAAAATTATTGTCAATGTCTTGAGCACAAGACTACTTAATATAATAATAATAATAATAATAATAATAATAATAATAATCTTATTATTCTTGTTATTACTTGAGATGCACGTAGGACCTTTCAGCACTCAGCGGTGGTGGTGCTCCACCACTTATATTGACTAACCAGTGCCCATCTAGATGTGAAAACGAGAAAGATGAACATTTTTATTTTAATAAAGATTACATTTATCTTTTCCCCAATATTTTCTTGTTAAAAAATATAAACTCAATATGTATTTATTATTAGAATTCCCTTCTTTCCCGGGTAGCCCTTCCGTAATTTAATATGTATACACGATTATGGGAAATCCGCGAAAAAAAAAGTTTAATCAAATTATGACAATTTTAGGGATCACCGTCATTTCAAGCCTAGCTCTTACTTTAGAATTATTAGATATAAAATCTCTCTTATTATTTATCTTGAGATCTACGGTTTCTGAAGATCAAAAGGTTGTTCTCGCGAATTTGAGGCGGTCCATCGTGCATGTATCGCGAGATATTTATTTACTAAAAAAATGCTATGAACGAATTGTAAATACCCGGTTATTTTAGGGAGCCGGGCTTTGGATTTTATGTCTTTTGAGACCTTTTCGGAAAATAATTATAAAAAAAAAAAGCAACGGGTTTGGTTTAGGCGAGATACCGCCCGCCGCCCATCTGAAAATGAATTTATTTTCTTATTTTTTTTGGGGGTCAAACATCTCAAAATGCATTATTGAAATATCTACAAAACCATGCTTTTCCAGCTGATTCCGGATCTACCCGGATCCGACCCATGGACCCAGGGGGCGGGGGGGGGGGGGGGACAGCCTTTGCTTGGTTACGAAAAATCGAACTGGTGCCAGCTCAGACCGCAGACAATGCGATCAAATCATGCACCCCCAGTAAAAAATTAAAAAAAATAAAATAAATATTATTTTTTTACTTTTCGGATAAATCCGACGCGAAAATCATATGATAACGCGTGAAAAACCACCAATAATAAATGGAAAGCCACAACGGCGTTTCCCTTGCCCTTCTTTTTTCCCCCTTCCTCAAAAAGGGAAAAAGGTCAAAAAAAAAAAAAGAAAAAACATAAATTTTTGTCGGTACACCTCCCTGTCCCTCCTCTGTATTCCTCTTCTTCCCTTGTCTCCTTCCATGTAAATCTCCAGCTTCCCTTCTTCTTCTTCTTCAGCTCCTCGCTCCTCACTCTCTCTCTCTAGCTTTCTCTCTCTTCTGGTTCGAGGCCACCGCCGATCGCTCTACCGGCGACCGCCGTTCCCCACCGGTTCCTAGATCCCGAGGCTCCTCTCCCCGCCGGCGTCCTCGCTCGGGTCCCGGATCTTCCGCGCCGCGCCTCGCCTCCGATCCCGGAATCTCGGGCGCGTGAGGATGCTCGACGATTGGCTGGGGGCTCGCCGGGGGTACCAGATCCGGCGGGCGATGCGGCACGGCAAGGTGACGGTGCTCTGCCTCCTGATGACCGTCGTCGTCCTGCGCGGCACCATCGGCGCCGGCAGGTTCGGCACCCCGGAGCAGGACTTCCACGACCTCCGCGACCACTTCTACTCGCGGAAGCGCGTGGAGCCCCACCGCGTCCTCGAGGAGGTCTCCACCGAGTCGGGCCGGTCGGCGTCCGCCCAGTCCGAGTCGACTCAGTCCTCCTCGTCCTCGTCCTCGAACAGCTACGAGACGTTCGACATATCGAAGATCCTCGTCGACGAAGGCGAGGAGGAGAAGCGGGATCCGAGCAAGCCGTACAGCCTCGGCCCGAGGATATCCGATTGGGACGAGCAGCGGGCTGAGTGGCTGAGGAACAATCCCGATTTTCCCAATTTCATCCGGCCGAACAAGCCTAGGGTTCTGCTCGTCACAGGTTCGTCCCCGAAGCCGTGCGAGAACCCGGTCGGTGATCATTACTTGCTGAAAGCGATCAAGAATAAGATAGATTATTGTAGGGTGCACGGCATTGAGATCTTTTACAATATGGCGCTCTTAGATGCTGAGATGGCTGGGTTCTGGGCCAAATTGCCTTTGATTAGGAAGCTGCTGTTGTCGCATCCGGAGATCGAGTTCTTGTGGTGGATGGACAGTGATGCTATGTTCACTGATATGGCGTTCGAGGTGCCGTGGGAGAGGTATAAGGACTCTAATTTCGTGTTGCATGGTTGGAATGAGATGGTGTATGATCAGAAGAACTGGATTGGGTTGAATACTGGTAGCTTCTTGCTTAGGAATTGTCAGTGGTCCCTGGACCTTCTCGATGTTTGGGCACCAATGGGTCCTAAGGGGAAGATTAGGGAAGAGGCAGGGAAGATTCTGACTAGGGAGCTTAAGGATAGGCCGGTTTTCGAAGCCGACGATCAGTCTGCAATGGTGTATCTGCTCGCGACCCAGAGAGATAGGTGGGGCGAAAAGGTGTACTTGGAGAGCGCTTACTATTTGCACGGTTATTGGGGGATTTTGGTGGATAGATATGAGGAGATGATCGAGAACTATCATCCTGGCCTGGGCGATCACCGGTGGCCCCTCGTGACTCACTTTGTCGGGTGCAAGCCGTGTGGTAAGTTTGGTGACTACCCGGTCGAGAGGTGCTTGAAGCAGATGGATCGCGCGTTTAACTTTGGTGATAACCAGATTTTGCAAATGTATGGCTTCACGCATAAATCGCTTGCTAGCAGGAGAGTTAAGAGGATTAGAAATGAGACCGGCAATCCACTTGAAGTGAAAGACGAGCTCGGATTGCTTCACCCTGCATTCAAAGCAGTTAAGGCTTCTGCATCTTGATGGCTTCCGGACGTGATGCTTAGATTTAATTGATTTCATCATTTATTATTCAGTTGATGTTCTTTTTTGTCAGCTCGAGTTCTAAGATACTCTATACAAGTCAACTTGTATGTTGTTATAAATCTCCTGTGATAGCTCTCCCGATCGTATTCCTTGTACTTGATCTTGTACTGATTCTTCCATAGTGAATATAGTCTTCATAGTTTATGTTTCCAACTCCCCACCTGCAAAATGTGAACTATACTGAAATAACCCTGTACAAGAAGAACAAGATGGGTTTTGAGCCAATATGTAGGTTTCTACTTGTATGGTCTCAACTTGAAGAAAGAAAGGCCTCGGTTTTGATCATCTGCTTGTTGATTGTAAGAAAGGCTTTGGTATCAATCATCAGGTTGTGGATTATAAAGGTGCTCTTTGAATAAACTTTTTTTTTTTGTCAATGAGCTGACAACCAAAGTTGGGAAATGCCCCTTTGAAGTATTGAGATGGTAGGCAGTAGTAGTTTAAGTTGATGCTACCTGTAATGGAGAGGAATAACGCGCAAGAAAGTGCTCCAAATTGACTAATTCATGTGAGATAGAGGCATCAAGAATGTTGCAAGTTGCGCTTCACTGAAAAGTTTACTTATCCAAAAGAGAAAGAGGAAAGTTGCAAGTTTTTCTCGATACCCCCTTTTAACGAAGCATGAAAGTCTTCCATTGAAATCTTGATTTGTTCATTGAGAAATGAAAGTTATGTGCTGATCAACGCTGGAGTTCTCACTGCAAGTTTGTTTGTTTGCATGAGAACTTTTCTTTTTTTGGACAAAGCATGAGATCATTTTTTTGAACATGCATGAGAACATTGAAGTTGCAATTATTTTGGTACCTTTAACAGAGTTCTTTTGGATTCTCTTGATTGTAAAAAGAAGTATAGTTCTTCTTCTCAGTGAATTGATATTGGATACTACGAAGTTGGAAGTTTATTTCGCCTTTCATTGATTCCTGAGAGTATGCTCTGTTTACTGGAAGAATGAAACCTCTAAACTAGTATATGAGAAACCGGATGTCTGCCTTATGTGTAAGGAATTCTCAGTGAATCGGAAGATTCCCAATTTTTCGACCGAGATAAAGCCTGCCGAATTTGCGGATATGGTGCAAAAATGTGAAAAATTCACTTCTAAGAGATATCAGATCAAGATATCTGCATAGTGATGCAATGTCAACGAGTGGAGCCTGGAGAAGTCGAGACAGTGCAGCAATCGCAGCATTGTTAAATCCCCACGGTGTCTCCTCAGCTAGTTCACATCTCGAAAGTTTGCCGATTGTGTATCTAGGCTTCTAGCTGCAGTCAGTGCATGCTGAGCTCACGAATGTGATGTCCTCAGAGGATCGATATAAGTGCCAGAGGACCAATTTGATTATGCAGTTTTCTGAGTCACGCCAAGAAGCGCTCATGTTGGCACACCGAAGCTGTTCTTGCCACAAAATGGAGGTATGAATGGTCAAGGCCTCTTCTCTCCGTCTCTTCTGAATCCCACAAAAGGGAAATGGCCTGAGAACATGAAAGCCCATTCACAACCCTCTGCGCTTGATGTTCATCCAACGCAGTGTCGGTCAACAGGGAGAGTGCAAAAGCATGCTTCAAGGGGAATCTAATTCATCAGTCCCTTTCTTTGCTTTTGCTTGCACATGGATGATGCCTTGTTTGTTCTCTGCTTTAGCGGATGTGTCCTGAAGCCTCGTATCGTTTCCTTTGTCGGCAACTGCTGCGCCTTGAGCCCGGGCAAGCCCCGCCTGGCCGGGTACGAACTTTTCCCACCAATTCGTCCCACGGTAGCATCCACATTCGCAAAAGTACGCCGGCGAGGTTGGATGGTCGAATTAGCTGGAATTAGACCTACCAGAATGTTGTTTGCTTTAGTGGATGGATCCTAAAGCTTCATATCATTTCCATCGTCTAGCTTCATATCATTTCCATCGTCAGCAACCGCTACGCCTTGAGCCCGGCAAGCCCCGCTTGGTCGAGTTCAAATTTTTCTGCCAATTCATCCCATGGTAGCATCCACATTGGCAAAAGTTTATGTACATTGTACACTGGCTAGGTTGGATGGTCCAATTAGTTGGAATTGGCCAGATTTGAGAGCGCGAGAGAGATAGGTTTTTTTTTTTCTTTTTTTGTTATTACTTGCCAGCAATCTGTTGCATCCACGATGGCAAAAGTCACACTGGCTAGGTTCGACAATCGAATTAACTGGATTTAACCGTATATATGCTCGAGGTATTGATCACAAAATAGAAACAATTTCAAAGACTTTAATTAGATAAATTTGAAGGTCAAAGAGTTGATGAGAAAAGAAGCGAGACAAAACCTCCTTTTTGTCCTTGCTTCTTCTTCTTTTCATTAAAATGGCGAAATAGGCATTACTAACCTACCATGAAAAATCCCAAATTGATACACATGTAACAAATTTACTTGAAATTAATGTTTTTGACCACCAAAACCCCAAACTGGTACACCTGTGATAAATTTACCCCAAACTAACTTTTGACAATCAAAAACCCCAAACCGGTATACTTGTGACAAATTTATCATCCATTAAATTGAATTAATACCACGAAAAGTCACAAATTGGTAAATCTATGAGAAACAGAGGTGCAAAATCCTAAACTAGTATACCAATCAACTGTCACGTGTCATTTAACTCAGCAATTCGACGGTAAAATTTAACTGAAATTGATGGAGGGTAAATTTGTCACAGATATATCAATTTAGGGTTTTTGGTGAACAAAAAATTAGTTTGAAGTAAATTTATCACAAATGTATCAATTTGAGGTTTTTCGATTTTTCGGGGTATTAACCCTAACCCAAAGTTAGATAATATCTATCTCGATTTATTTTTCTTATCTATCTCAATTAGGTTTATCTTTCTTATGACCACAGGAAGAACTCGCTGTCATCCTTGCTTGAGCTCGCTGGGGCAAGCAAACTCCCCGAGAGGGTACGATAGGACCCTCCCCAAGGCACCCAGGTAAGTCTAAAGTGTGTACGCAGCATCAATTCAGACCGGACCTGACCCGACCCGACCCGACCTGACTCTTACTGGGCGTACGCAAGGATGGATTCAACCACAACCCGCCAACCGGGCGTCATCAGGCTCTACTTATTTGGACCGAAACGTGTTTTTCTCCTCCGATTTTGGACCGGAGTGCTATTTCGGAGGAGAAAACGAATGATTCGGGCGGGCCACCCGCCCGCCGTCTCAATCTTCCCCACCCCCGCGCAGGAGGAGTTATATGTAAATTACTTTTTCATCTCTCATTTCTGCCCTCGAACTATGGCCGGAAATAAGCCAGAGAGCCGAGGACATTACGGTAAATTCAGTCTAGACAACCTTCACAAAATCCTTCCTTTCCGAATATGGCCGCGCACGCTTTCCTTACGTTCGCTAATCATTACTCGCTGTTTTCATATAAAGACTTCTGTCATTCCCCCCTTCTCTTCCTTCACTTCCAATTTTCTCTCTTTCTACTAAACAAAGCGTTAAAACGAATATCGATTCGGTTTCATGTGATAGTCATTTCTCGAATTGGAAGCATGCTAAGATATTTCTAATAAGCCAAGATTCTCCGTAATTTTAGGGACGAAAATGCATGTGTAGATTGGGTTAGCAAATTGAGGTGTCCAACCAAACAATGCGGGTGATAATTACATATTAGATTTTAGGCTACCGATGGATTTGCTTCCTTTATTGTTAGGGGATCGGATTAGATTATAATTTATTAGGAGATTAATGATATAATTTTTGGGTTTTGTACCTTTGCTTTCCCAAAAACATATACGAATCAAGATTATAAAAGAACTATGTTACAATGAATATCGATTCGGTTTCATTTAATAGTCATCTTATCTTTAGCTTATATCCAAAATTCTAATGCGAAAAAAAGCACTTGTTCAATGATCAAAGTAAGAAAAAAAAGCACTCGCTCAATGTTCGACCAAAAAAAAATGATCAATGTTAGAAAAATTCACGACGTATGAAAAAAGAAAAATTTACATTGTCGAATATATATGATTTTTCCTTGCGATATGCATCATTAATATTAACTCAAAGAAGCTCTCTATCTATTAAACTTGCCCAATAAACTACTTTATTCATCAAAGCGATTTGTTAGCACTAGCTAATACGTGATTAGCCAAAAAGAAAACAACAATCAAAAGAGCGTGGGTCCGTCTGGATTGATAGTTACATTTTTATTATTAATTCGAAACAGTCAAAATTTTCATAGAAAAGCAAGCATCGATGGGTATAGGTGGATGCATATATATATTTATTAATTTTTCAGATATAAATAATACGGCGAGAAAGTAAAATAGTGCCTTTTTTGTTTTGTTATTGTATTTTTTCCCCTTTTAGGGGCACAGAAAATTTGGAAGTATGCTGCCGTAATGCCAAGAAACTCTCGATTAAGTCGAATCACAGCGGGGCTTAATCAACGTCAAAGATTGCCATATTTGGGGGGGGGGGGGGGCCTTCAGGACCAATCTCGGTCGAGATGGACGGACCACATCGCATCAGAACCCCGGGCCACGGCCCACCCGAATCTCGCCACGTCATCCCGGTGGGGCCCCCCCGGACCCGCCCGAAAAAAAAAGGGAGGCCGATGCCGGAAAAAAAAAAAAGAAAAGAGGGAAAAAAAGCGAAACGCGGTGTTCCCTCCTCCAATCGCACCCCCGCAAGCAGCCTCCCCGACCGCCCGCACGCGCGGCGCGGCCCGAGCCACGAGAGCGCGTGGGGGGCACGCGCCTCTGGAAGCCCCCACGCGCCTATATATGCAACCGGTTTAACCTGTCGTCGTCCCTCTCTTGAGGCTACAAGCAACGCTCGCAAACTTGGAAGCTTCTCTCTCTCTCTCCTCTTGACCATAAAACCCTAAGTCCTTTCACGTACTCTCTCTCTCTCTTTCTCTCTCCACTGTTTGCACCGACCTCGCCTCGCTCGATCCGTACGCCGGCGCCGACGCCGGCTCTGCGGTATCCGCGCGGCCCTGAGCTCGCGGCCAGCTCGGCTATGGAGGCTCCGCCGTCGGGTGAGAGGCAGGGGGGCGGCCTCGAGTTCGCCCTGGTTTCCGTCTCCGACCTCTCTCGTCCTTCCGCCGCTGCTGCTGCTGCTCCCGCCTCTTCGGCGGCGGCGGCGGGGGCCTCGGCCCCGCCCTCGCCCGTCGTGGCTCGGTTCGGCGGCGGCGGCGGCGACTCCGGCGTCGCCGAGCTTCGGTTTTACCGAGACAACGGACCGAGCGATGTCGTCGGCGGCGGCGGCGGCGGCGGCGTTGTTGAGCTCGCCAGCGCTCAGGTTTGTCTGTTTTTGTTCTTCTTTTTTCTATTTCTTTCCAGTTTTCATTTTGTTCCGTTGTTTCTTGGCTTGTCTGTGTCTGCTTGCTGAGCGGCTATTTCGCAATGAGGAGAAATGGCGAATTGCCGCGACCCGCATTGCGTTTGCACTCTGTTTTGAGCGGATCGCGACTTTTTTTGGGTTCTCTGAAGCTGTGTGTCGAAGTATTTCCTGCAAATTTCCTTTCTTTTCAATCTCCGTGTTGGGCTGTTCTCATTGGCCAGCCTAAACGTTAGAAGGAGGGTTGCTAATGACAACTGAGCTAGCATTGGTCTTGAAATGGAGCGACTTTGCAGTGGTGATTTAGATATTGGTAAAATCTGAAGTGCTAGATAAATTTGCGCCCGAAGATGCTTATATCATTGCTTATCCTGTGTCGTGTGTTCCCAGATATTTAAGCTAGGCCCGGTTCAGTCAATTTGCATGTCCGAAGGCTCTGAAACAAGTAAAGAGGTATGTGTAACAAGGACTATCTGAAATGCTTGTATCTTTACTATACTGCGAAAATTTTGCCGAACTCTTGGGTGGAAAGGTTTCTCAATGTTTGTGTATGTCTATTCTTCCTAGATTACCTTCTGGTTCATTTTGAATATAACTCTCTTGTACAAAGTGGTTTAATTGTTGTGAGGTACTGGCCGATGTTGGCACCTTCTAATGCTATGACTTTGTTCCAGAAGTCATATTCAAAAGGGTTTAATATTCATTTTAAAACGGAAGAGGAGAGCGAGGCCTTCCATTGTACGTTTGAGCAATTGAAGAAGGAAGGCAGTATTAAAGGTGCCGCTTTTTGATGTGATAATTGCGTCTTTTGATATGTCATGGAGATTGACTTATTTTATTCCCCTTCCTTCTTACATATCTAGCTTGTGTTCCATTTTACCCTAAAAACAATGCTTCTGAGCTTATTGTTTCGATGGTTGTAGCTCTAATTTGCAATTAGATGTGGTTAAGTGCATTATGAAACTTGTATTGGGAGGTCCATAGGGAAATAAACTAATTCGTGGTTTAGTACGGCTTGGCTGTGGATCCTGCCAACTTAGACACAAGGCTTGCTCTGTTCTTCATGGAATTGCAGATTTTAGTGTCATTACCTTCTTAGACAAAGAAGGGCGTTGTTAGTCGAGTAAGGTTACTCATTGGCATCTACAGTTTGGATTATGCAATGAAGGAGTGGCCCTGTTTAGTGTGCATTTGAGTTCAGGGGAAGTCTAAAGTTACTAAATCTACCATTCTCCAAGCATTAGCCATGGGACCTGGGTCTGCGTCTCCTTGCACCCGTGCCCTTGCTTGCCTTCCCTGCATACAAGGAGTTGGATCGTCAATCTTTGATGCATATTTGCTGAAGTGTTGTGAAAGTTTTGCTTAAATTTTCGTCTAAGCTAAGCTTGTCTTGAGCAGCTTTATTTATTAAAACAGGAAGAAGCCTTCTCAACTCTTGCATCGACTTCTTCATTATCGTGCAATTTATCTTTTGTCTAAACTATTTTCTAGAATTGATTAGTATCAGCCTTCATCATCGTTCAAGTGTTCATTGAAATTGTGATATCTATACATCCCTAAGAAAAGAGAAGAAAAAGAACCGATGCTCATCGAAGAAAACATAGGACTGACCCTTGGAAGTTGTTTGCATTAGTCATGTGTCATCGAGGTGCCGGGGGCAACCTTAGTTTCACTATATGCCCTGCTATCTAATATCTTTGTTAACTTCTGTTATTGTACGAGGTTTCTTAGTGTTTTTTTTCCTTCTTATACCTTTGTCTGTTGTTATTCTAGCTTTTTGACTGTGGGTTGTGCAGCTTTTGCTTGTCATTCTTACTAATTCAGCTTTTTGTTACTACTCCATATAGGGACACACTTGCCAAATGGAGTTCTGTCAACTTCTAAGAGCAAATTTGATGACAAGATAGAGGCATCTTCTGCCAAAATGTATTTTCATTATTATGGACAGCTTCTGCATCAGCAAAATATGCTACAGGATTATGTGAGGACAGGTTCTACTTCTGAGCTTTCCTGTTTTGCCTTTCTGTTATGTATGATAAATTTACCTTTGTTTTTTGAAATGGGAATGCTGACATGTAAAAACTTGCGGATTTTCAGTAAAAAAGATAGTCAATTTAACAAGGAACAAGATGTACTATTTGAATGCAACAGTTCTGATGGATATTTATAAGTTGTTCAACAGAAAGTGAAAGAAATTATTCCTTCTATAAATACTGGATAAATTGGCATACGACCAAATCACTTGCCAATTGTCACAGCAACGGTAGTTTAAGGTATCAGGAAAAATTGGAGACGTGTGTCCCTTCTATATTGGTGCTTGTTCATGTATATCTCTCAGTCCGTTACCATGTGATAGGACAGAGATGAATAGGTTGCCCTAATAAATTTTTGGCAGTTTTGATCGAGGCTTTTGTGACATGTGGTCAATAAGAAAAAGTATGTTCTATATTGACGAAGAAATATGCAATTTACGTCCAGGCCGGTAGGAAAAATTCACTGGCTGGAGGCACGCTTGAATTTGAGCTGTCTTCTTTCTCTCACCAGCATAACTACAAATAGATCATCTCGTGGTTGTGTTGACTATTCATCGAAATGCATGGTAAGAGTTAGAGATGAAAAAGAAAAGTTAAACTTGTTTGGGAAGCTGGCCGATGAAATATTGGAAGAATTAGATGCCAAATTTCTAGCTATATATATCACTTTTCAATTCGAACTGTATAAAAGGTGACTTAGGTTTTTCTACTATGAGAACTTGTCAGACTCTTATCTTTCAAGAGACGAACAACACAGAGTTGTTTTGCTATCAATTTCAAAATAGAAGTTTCTAAGATTAATTTTCAAGGGCACTACAGGCACCTAAGCATCTTACTGTTAAATATTCCTCTCTTCAGTAACTTATTGTCAATTCTTTGTTTTTGAGAACCATACAAAGCTTTTCTTTCTTTATTTATGTCTTGAGAACACTTTTTAAGCTTCAATTATACTGTCAGACACACACATAGTTATCTTATTATGATGTATTTCTTGTCCAGGAACCTATTATGCTGCTGTCATTGAGAACCGTGCAGATTTCACAGGTCGAGTGGTTGTTGATGTCGGTGCTGGTAGTGGTATTCTGTCATTATTTGCTGCTCAGGTACAAATGTTGTCTGAGCATTTCTTTTTTTCTAGACAATGATTGATGCTTCCTTTTCATCTGTTACATGCATTAGCACAGTCTATTTATTCTTGTGTTATTTTCAAAACCCGTAGGCTGGGGCAAAACATGTTTATGCTGTGGAAGCATCTGAAATGGCTGAATATGCTCGCAAGCTTATTGCTGGAAATCCATTGCTCAGCCAACGAATTACGGTGAGGTTTTATTAGTTCAGTCTGATATCTGAGGGTCTTTATCTCATTGTTCTCAGGAGCCATGCATGTATCTCACTTAAAAATGCAGGTGATTAAAGGCAAAGTCGAAGAAGTTGAATTGCCGGAGAAAGCTGACATTCTGATTTCGGAGCCGATGGGTACTTATCTTTACTTCTGTTTCTGTTAAAGTTGCTGATGTCCAGAGTCATTTTCCTAGTAAGCCTTTAAAAAAATTTATGTTGACAAACCGCTTTAAGTGAATGGTGTAATAAAGTATGCTCTGCTTTTTAAGGCATCTCTAGTGAGATTTAATGGTATGGCGTGCTTATTCATCAGTTTAACCTCGCTTCTATAGTTGAGTTACTCTTCTTCATTAATAGCTTACATATTTTGACCATTCCTTCCCCCCTCCATTTTCTTTTTTATGTTTGATGTTGAGTTGGTTTTGTATATTGAAGCTTATGGATACTAGTACAGTGACATTTGTGAAGTGCTCAAAGTGCTTACAATTGTTTCTGCCCTAGGCACTTTGTTGGTAAACGAAAGAATGCTGGAATCTTACGTAATTGCTAGAGACCGGTTTCTGGTTCCAGATGGAAAGATGTTTCCTACTGTTGGAAGGTGATTGGGCGTTTCCCTCTTCTATTTATGGTTTTTCATGTTTTTACCTCGCCATTTTTGATCTGATTTGGATGGTATATTTCTCCCTTCATGTTACTTTTTCTTCGAATTTAAAGCTGTGGTTAACGAGTTGAGAAGCACTATCCGGAAAGATGTTTCAGGGCAATGTTGAGTAGAGTTTTGATTTTGTTGCTCCATCTCTGAAACTCGCTTTATGTAGTTCTTTTAAATTAATGTTTGTTTGGAGCAATATTTACTTTTTTCCTTTTTCCAAATCTTGCGACTTTGATTTTTTGTTTGACACAGAACACCTACGACCTTTCAGAATGGACGAACTTATACATATAGAATAATATATGTTTTTTTACAACGTTTTAAATTTGTAATAATTGAAGTTTTAACAGGAAAGTCAGTAACTTTTTACTTAAAAAAAGAACAGCAAGAACAAACACGCCCTGTGCATAGACATCGTAAGAGACGGTAAAATGGGCAATGTTTTTCCGTCTATCTGTAGTTGTGAGCTTCTAAGGGCTCTTTCAGGAGCTGACTTGGATTAAAGTGGATATTGTTTTATAATTTGTTTTTCTCCATGATCCTACTATTGTCGATAGTTTGATTAGCTATATCAAGCACATCATCATTTGGAGTTGTTGGGCATTTGTTCTTTATTCTTTAGCTTGTGCCCCTCTTCACTAGAAGTTGTTGAATGCTATTTTTTCCTGATTGGTGCTTTCTCATTTCTGCAATTAAAATCAGGACTTCTCCTCTCTCTTTTGGTAATATATCATATATGTATTTGAGATGTACGTGATTGTTATGTAGCTTGAATATGTGTATCAACTATGTCTCTCTGATGTTTCTGATTATTGCTCCTGTAGGATACACATGGCCCCTTTCAGTGATGAGTATTTATTTGTTGAAATTGCAAATAAGGTACTTACTCATGGTATAGATGATAGTGTTTATTTCGTGGTCAGCTCTGCATATTTATAATAAGATTGATGTAATTACAAACTGAACTTGTTTAAAGATGAAGATACCAGTTATAAGACATAGGAGAAATCTGTTAGTAGTGTTGCTTAAATTTTTTTAATTTTTTTTTTTGGTCGGTCCTACTCTATCTCTCACTCACGATACACACTCAGACTTGCGCCCCACCTCTTGCAGGGCGTGGGCGTCGAAACCCACATCTTAAACTACGCGGCCCCACCCCTACCCCCCCTGCGAAGGTGGGGATTCGAACTCCCCACCTCCCCCTTCTCAAGTGAGAAGGGTGGCCACTGGGGTAGTAATGTTGTAATGGTATATTTTTCCCCCCGAATTGCTCTCTCTGCAATGTAGATAGCAGTTTAGCATTTTCACTTACACTTCTCATACCAAGAGAAATTGCTGTTACGTTGGCCAGTAGTCAGAGACTGTTATCCATCGTAAAGCAATGAATTCACTGCAAAAGGATCCTTTTCTAGCTCTGGGTGATATTCTCTGTTGACCATGAATTTTCCCTGAAGTTATTGAGTTGCAGTCCTAAGGATCTTGATTTTATTCTCATTTTTGGTCTTTCACAGTTACCTCTTGTGATTGTTTATGGATATTGGAATGCTTCACTGTGCTATTTTTCTGATGTTCGTTTTGTTTGTTACTTGGAAGTTGCTATTAGTTTTCAGTTTTCTTATCCATTTTTCTTGCCATTTCTGTTTGATTAACTTTTTTGTATTGACCTTTATATGTTAATGTAGGCTCTCTTTTGGCAACAACAGAGCTATTATGATGTCGATTTGACACCCTTGTATGGAACTGCGTTTCAAGGCTACTTCTCTCAGGTTTATAGTCTCTGCATATTTTTTGACACTTATTTTTTTGTGGTGTCTAACTATGTCTAATCTTAAGTGGCACAATTCTGGTCATCTATTTTCTGCCAAATGATTATTACAGTTGAGATTTGTGACTTATTGCTGTTGGTAATTGACCATGGCAAGTGGAAACAGAGGTTCTACATCTGTCATCACCCATCTGCCTGCTTGCTAGCTACGCTCTGTTTTTTCACTGTTTATGGTTTTTGGCTTGCTATGCTCTGCTAGCTTGTCTACTAGTATTTGTTTAGGGTGTCTTCTTGGCTACTAAACTATCTTAATCTGGTCATTTCTTCTACATGCAGCCTGTTGTAGATGCCTTTGATCCAAGGTTGTTGGTGGCTCCCTCAATATTTCATGTGATAGATTTTACGAAAGCGAAGGTGCTGACCCATTTCAGTTGATTATCAAGACAAGCTTTTGTTACTTTTCTGGCGCATGCAATTTGAAACACAACTCTTGCCACAGCAAAACCATACATTCTATTGATTCATCATGTCTATCTATAGTTTATCAGTAGTTTGCTCTTATTGCCTTCTGTATTCCCATACCTGATGATAACATGTACTTTATAAGTGTTTAAGGCTGCTAATAGTAATATTACGTCACTACACTGGAAATGTTATTTCAAATTCCAACCTTGACTCCTACCTAAAGCATTCAGGCAGGGTAGTGCTTCTTTGATCGAGATATTTCCCAGCCAATGGCTTGTAACTTCATTGAAAAACGAATTTGTTTCTTATTGTGGCTTCATAATGGTTGTGTTTTATAGGAGGAAGATTTGTATGAGATTGATGTTCCGTTGAGATTTACAGCAAACGTTGGTACCAGAGTGCATGGGTTGGCCTGCTGGTTTGATGTGCTATTCAATGGGAGGTAAATCTCCGTCTTTCTTCCCCCCAAGCTTTTTAGTGCATCATATGACTTGTATTCTAAATTTCATCTCAATTTTGCTTATTGTCATAACTAGTTAACTGTCTCGATACACAGTACTGTGCCAAGGTGGTTGACAACTGCTCCCGGATCTCCAACAACTCATTGGTACCAACTGCGTTGTGTTCTTTCTCAACCCCTCTATGTCATGGCTGGACAAGAGATCACTGGTCGACTACACCTGGTCGCACACAAATCCCAGAGTTACACCATATATTTGACGTTGTCAAGTGAGTTCCTCATTAATCTCTTCTATTTGTAGTGATGAATGATGATTGTTACATGTGTTTGCTAACGTACATTTTCAAATCTGTTTCCAGCTAAGATGTGGGGCCCAGGGGCTGAACAAGGTGGAATACTTCAAACATCATCCGGCAAACTTGATTTAAAGGAACCTTACTACAGAATGTCTCAGCCCCAATCTTACACAGTAGCACAAGATCAGCAACCACATCAACTGCTTCAATCACAGGTTCTCTCTCTTTAGTCCTTATTGTATACTAAGTACTCTTTAGATGCTATATCGAGTGTTTCAAGCGAGCATTCCAAATGTTTGTTAAACAGAATGACGTGGTTTTGCTTCAATAGGAATTAAACGTCCAAACACAGGACATAGAAGAAACCGATCTATTGGAGCAACCGGCACAAAATTCGGGCGCTCATTTCGGTTAACAGGAGCACTTGGTTTTTTAGATGATGAATTGCACATCACGCGGTTAAGTTGGGCACCGTCAGTAACTTCAAATTTGCTAGCAGGGCATTGAGCGTCGATTCTCTGGATTATTACCAAATAGCCCTACGGCTGCCTTTGCCGGCCTTTCTCCTTCCATTTCATCTGTATTCCCTACTCAGCCATCTCATGTGCCAATTCCTTGTAAATTTTGTGCAATTCATTTCGCTGCCCGTGTGGTTGTGCTATGTAAACGTGCGGAACTTCGATCGTGATTAACTTAAGCCAATTGATAATAAACTTGGTTCAGTTCGGCTCGACTCGAAATGGTTTGAACTTATTGCTGCAAGTTCCGAGTATGTTGCACGGGTTTACATTGTGCTGGTCGAGAATATTCTGTTGAGCTATTTTGCAGGTTGTCGCTTCACTCTGGCGACAAGTCCATTTTGCCTTTCTTTCTTTAGAATATATTTACCTCAAGTTACAGGTCAGCTTTTGTTCTTGGTCTCGCTAGCTGTCGAGAGAGAGAATATTGCATATTGCATACAACTCTGATGCCACGTCATTTTTACAAAAGTTCATTCATTGAGTGACACATGTTACTGTAGCCCATTCGTTATAAATGCTCGTCTCTCTCTCCTCTTTCCCCGTTCAGACTGATTCTCTCTCCGCTTTCCCGTTCAAACTTTGGTGTATTTTCTTTTGAAACACCCATGGCCACTGCCTCTTACATTTGCGACCAGCTCTCCTCCGTCGCCGACCACCTCTCTGACACCTCCTACGCTGTCGCAGAGGAAGTTGCTGTAGTCGACGGTGGGGGAGGGGACTTTCTTGAGGCCGATGAGGCTGTTGGAGGGCGAGCCGAAGAGGTGGTAGAAGAGGCTGGCGGCGACGGCATTGAGGACGTTGGTAAGCATGGTGTTCTTGGCAGGGACAGAGCAGACGTAGATCATGGCGCAGCCGAGGTAGGCGGAGAAGAGGAGGTATGTGGTGTCGACGGCATAGGAGGTGTCGGAAAGGCGGCCGGTGAAGAAGGAGAGATGGTCGCAAATGCAAGAGGCAGCGGCCATGGTGTCGGTGGTGTTGGGGCCGAAGAGAGGTGTGAGCTGGTGGGCGGTTGAGGAGCTCGCGGTGGAAGCCATGATTATAGTTGAGAGGGAGAGAGAGTAGTGTACGTGGTGAGAGAAAATCAGGAGGGTCTGAACGGAGAAAAAGAAGAGAGACGGGCATTCATGATGGATGGGCTACAGTGACATGTGTCACTCAATGAATGGACTCTTGTAAAGATGACGTGGCATCAGAGTTGTATGCAATATTTTCTCGTTGATAGAACCTGTTACGGTTTCCGTACGGCATGGTGCGCACGTAATTCTGCAAGACCTAATACAAATCCCATTTGTCTGCTGGTCGTATTGGCTTGGTTGCATTATTCTAAGAACGTGCAATTGCAATCTCTGTACTGATTGGCCCTCGCAAGTTGCCGCGGAAAAGAACAATTTTTCGTAGAATTTTACGCATTAAAAATTTTACTCTTGTTAAATCAATTGACTCATAACTAGGTGTGTACAAAAGAATCGAGAGTCGCTCGGAATTGCACCGGAACTGGTCTGGTTTTCGGTTCTAATTTTTGGGAATCGGTGGGTATCGATCCAATTTTCGGTTCCAGGTGTGGAATCGCCCGTCCACCTGAATTGCACCGGTAATATATTAATAAATATAATATATTTATTTTATTTTATTTTTAAAAAAAAGAAAAATCATAAATTCTTAAACTAAACTTAACTCGCTCGACGTTTACAGTCTCATATTGAGTCAAGAAACTCCTCCTTTCGCTTTCGCCTCACGCTCACTCTCACTCTCACTCGCTTACTCTCACTCACTCACTCTTCTCGATCGGTGCTCACCTCACCGTCTCCGACTCTCAATCTCCGTCTCCATCTCCATCTTTCTGTTGCCGTCGTTGGCTAGTGGGACTGGTTCCATGGATCCACCCGAGAATTAGACTGCCGGTTCGGTTCCCGGGTTGGTCCGTGGAACCAATGGGCAGTTCACGGTTCCCGATTCCAATTTTTCAGAATTGGTACTTAGTGAAGAATTCCCGATTCTAAGATGGAAACCGCCCACTCGGACCATACTCACCCCAAGTGCCAGACTTTGCCCGTGTATTCCTTCATTGAGTTGTTCATGTCTACATAGACTTTGAATGTGTTCCACATTCTCTTTGTCTCGGATTATATATCCATGTGATTATACCCTAATTCCATGTAAATTCTGTTCAATCCATTCCACTGCGGGTGTGTCCGTGCTATGTAGATTCACCGCGCCAATGGATAACTAACTCGGTTCGGTCCGAGATGGTTCGAGTTTATTCCAAGTTCGGAGCATGTATTTGGCAGATTTTACCTAAGCGACAACTTGACGCAGAGAGAAAGCGTAAATTTGGAACAACTCCAAAGAACTCGAAACTTTTATTCAATAATACTGTGTTCTTGATTACAAGACGGACATCTTATATATAGAGATAGGACTCCTAATACTAATGGAAACCGAATAATTAAAGAAACTGCCTGAATGGTAATATAGGAAACTGCCTTACTGGTAATATAGGAAACTGCCTAAATGATAATATAGGAAACTGCTTGAATGATTGCTTTCCCCAAAATTAGAAAAACTGCCGAGATTTCCGGTGATTACGGCGATCACATTGTTCAAGATAATCACAGGCTAAATGTTCTACATCATTCCCTCCCTCTTCGGAAAAACTCGCCCTCGAGTTATGATCAGGATAGAGGGGTGTATCAGAAGCATGATACTCAAATAAGTCTGCCACATTAAATGTAGGGGAAATGTTGAGATCACCCGGAAGTTCAACTACATAGGCATTGTCGTTGATCTTCTTCAGGATGCGGCAAGGACCAATCTTCTTGTGCTTCAGTTAATTATAGGTACCTACAGGAAAACGCTCCTTTCGCAGGAAAACCATTACCTCATCGCTTACCTCAAAAATTTTCGAACGTCACCGTTTGTTAGCATCCTCCTTATACTTTGAATTACTCTTTGGTCTCAAAGTAATTTTAGTCATTTTCCATACAAAAGAATACGTATTCTCCCTAGCTCGGTGTGTAGCATCAACATCATATTGCCATGGTCGACCCAGTAAAACATGACACGCATCCATCTCCACAACATCACAGACAATAGTATCTTGATATGATTTTCCGATTGAAATAGGCAAACGGCATAATTGGTTTACCTTAAGTTCTGCTCCCTTGCGTATCCACCCGATCGTGTAGGGCGCGGGATGCGGCTCCGTCTTTAGTTGCAAGTGATCCACCAAGGCCTTTGACACTATGTTCTCGCAACTTCCGCTGTCAATAATGATATCGCATACTTTGTTGTTGATAGTACAGCGAGCGCGGAAAAGCTAATTCCGCTGGGTATCTTCTGTCCGCAGAGCAAGCAATAGACGACGCACAACACAATTAACTTGCTCGCCCACTTCATCTTCCACTCCCACTTCTTCTTCCTTTTCCCAATCTTCCTCATACACATCTTCGTCATGTTCAACGATATTGGCCATTCTACGAAGAGGACAATCGCTGGAACGATGGCCCAACTCGTTACACTTGTAGCACCTGATCGGTTGGGGCTTGGCATATGGATTCTGGGTATTCTGATTGGGAGTGCGACTGTTTGTTGCGACTGCTTCCTTAGGTGTCCCACTAGTACCCCCTGGAACTCGACTCGAATCAGGTGTTTGTTGACTAGAACTTGCAATATCAGGCTGTCTTCCTTTCCCGAATGACCCACGACCCGAATAATTACTACCACGAGTACTAGGGCTAGTTCTCTCCAATTGCACCTCAATTTTTCGCGCCATATCCTGGGCGTCTTCGACAGAGAACAGTTGATGCAAAGAAACCCGATCCTGGATATTAAGTCGCAAACCATTAATGTACCTAGCAGTTTGTTGTGCCTCGGACTCATCCAGGTTATTACGAGCGGAGAGTCGAAGGAACTCTTCCGTATAAGCTTGGACCGATCTATTCGATTGTCGGCAATTTTGGAATTGCTGAAATAACAGTTGCTCATAGTCCGTTGGGAGGAACCTCTTCTTCAACTTCTGTTTCATCTGACCCCAAGATCGAATAAGAGCCTTGCCTTGTCGACGTCGTGTCAATTGAGTTTGTTCCCACCAAGCTGAAGCGCCACTCGTCAACTTGTACGCCACAAGTTTCACTTGGCGATCCTCGTCAATATCCATAGCGTCGAAGAATTTCTCGACCTCCAAAGCCAGTCAAGGAAATCTTCAATATCCAAATTCCCATTGAAAGTAGGGAGATCTACCTTTAGTTGATACTGCTCAGGATCTCGTCGATATCCTTCCTAACGTCGATTCCCACGAACATGCTCCTCCTGGAATCCCCTGTATCGGCGACCACCACGAATCTGCATCTCCTGGAATTCATCGTCTTCGTCTTCCGTATCCTCGACATAGTCTTGACGCCTATGTCGGGGAATTCCTCCATGCCCCATAGCATCTTTGGGATCACGAACGACAGGAATTCGCTCGGCTGGAAGAACGCCAGGCGCATGGTTTGTGGACAAACACTGGATGGCATCAAGGATCTCTTGAAACCTCCGATCGGTTTGATCCACGAACTGATTGAACTCAGCCCGCGTAATAGGCTCGTTCTCAAGGCCCTCAGCAGCGGGGAGATTGACATTCACGTTATTCACCATCGTCACAGGAGAAACCTGCTCTGATACCAAATGACGCAGAGAGAAAGCGTAAATTTGGAACAACTCCAAAGAACTCGAAACTTTTATTCAATAATACTGTGTTCTTGATTACAAGACGGACATCTTATATATAGAGATAGGACTCCTAATACTAATGGAAACCGAATAATTAAAGAAACTGCCTGAATGGTAATATAGGAAACTGCCTAAATGATAATATAGGAAACTACTTGAATGGTTGTTTTCCCCAAAATCAGAAAAACTGCCGAGATTTCCGGTGATTACGGCGATCACATTGTTCAAGATAATCACAGGCTAACTGTTCTACATCACAACTCCAGGTCGTTTCTTTCAAATAAACATTTGTCTAGTGAAAATTCGATGCGGAGACTCCTTGGTCTTGCTACTCTTGCTGATTGTAGATGAAAACGCGTATCTTTGTGTGGGCCTGAATTTGTCGTTCGGAAAATATTCGCCGGCCGGCAAGTATTTGATTTTTCCAGCCACCGGAGTTGGGGCATTTTGACCCAAATAAAATCCGAATAAGGATTAAAAAAAAGAAATAGAAAAAGGAA